GACATCAATAAAAATTATATTGGTGTCACTAATAGAAGTTTAGGAGTCAGAATAAAAGAGCATAAGTATAACATCAGCAAGGGATCTAGTGCCACTATACTATCGCAAATGGCGCAAGTTGAAGGCTCAATCGTCAAATGGGACGAAGCAGAAATTATTAAATCGGTACATTCACCGACATTGGCGAATTGCGCAGAAAAAATTGAAATATATAAAAGCAAATTGCATGATTCATGCATCAATTCTAGAGATTCTGAAGGGTTGCCTTCGGCCTGGAAATACTTTATCAAACGATTGGACAAATCTTAATTTATTGCGGCGATTTTAATATTTTTTCGCATAAAGTGCATTTCACTGAATTTCTATATAACGTTTTAATATTTAGTTAACCTATGCTTATTTTTTCGTATACATTTTTTGTTATTTGTAACAATAATTTTTATTTATTTTATTAGTCTGTATACATTTATATATATATTTCGCTCGTTATTTTATTTTATTTGTATTTAAATTTTTGTTCTATTTTATTTATATTCGAATGTTCTTAGCCTGACGATGGCCAACTGATTTGGCTGAAAACGTTAGCTTTACATTAAATTTTTTCTCAGCAAATTAAGGTGTTTTGTTTTTTGATTTATATACTATTGCTGAGTGTGTGTACATCAATTATTTTGATTTTGTTGATTTTGTGACAGCAAAAATAATTACAATTAATAACAATAACTTTAAGTAATAATTCAGTATTAATTACTCTTATAATTATTTCTTACTACATCTATATACAGTCAATTTGAGTTAATAAGAATAACTAGAGGAACAGTAGTTATTTTGCTTTATCAAAAATTTGTATTAACAATTTTCAAAGTCAAGGTCAAGGTTATATAATTTAGGGAGTTAAGGCTTCACGGGCAATAAAAAATCTCAAAATTATAATACTTTGAATTAATTTACTAAGTAAAGTTAAATCAAATTAAATAATGTTCTAAATGATTTTCAAATCACTGTACACACTACCTGATATGCAAACTAGCATGTGTTTGGAAGAGAACACATCCATTTAAAGGAGTGGGCATCCTTTAACTTTAACCCCTATTTTCTGAATACTTCAGAAATGATCCCTTGAAGTATGATCTTTCTTAACCATACTTCTTTCAATACAAGCACCCTTCCAACCCACTCCTGTACAACAGGAGAAGTTGGATTAAATTAACTTTAGGTAACAAGCACATTGCCCCTAGGGGTGAATGCTATTACACTTCTGATATAGACTTTGCCAGTGACCATAGGTAATATTCATAAGCATTCTTACTTCTAGTAATACTTCTACTGATAGTTTCCACCAAGCTTGACAATAAGAAAAACTGAGTTAGAAGAATAAGGAGGCAGTTTACAAGTGAACAGGACACTAACATTAAGGCTATACTAAGAGAGCAGTACAGACACAATATGCAAATTGTTTACAGTATTTTGTTTAAAAAGGAGTTTAATAAATTTTTTGCATACAATTGGAAGTCAAGCTTGTCTTAGAATACCAGAAGAAGAATATCTATTCTACTTACAATGAAACATTTATTACAGTACCACATTTTATCATTCAAGTCAAAAAGTGTAAAAAGAAACCATTTTTGAAAATAGAGTTATTTCCTGGAGGTTGTGAAAGTAATTTATGATTTGGTTTAACAATTTCTGGTAAAATTTTAGTTTGCTTTATTTGCATGAAAATTAAAATGACAATGGAATTTTGCCAAGGCAAGGGCAAAATTTACTTTAATGAAAGAATTCATTTTATTGGTGTTTGTTTTAAGGCAAGTCTACTATAGTAATTATTTTAATTCAGTTTTAAATATACTGTAAAGTTTATAATATTTCCCTAACATAAAAAAACTTTATTACACATATATACCAGTTTTTATGCACTTTATTGTAAAATTATGAAATATAATGAAATATGATAATTTGATTTTATTCTGAATAAGAACAGGCAGATTCGATTAAAAATCAAAACGTATTTTCATAAATAAAATAGTCTAATTTATATAAGAAAATCTTCTAGCATGACATTAGGGGAAGGTCCTCTAGTGGTCCACCAGATGGTGGCTAGTATCGGACAAGCATTGTTTCTAAAATTTGCTGCAAGTGACAGAACCTGTGAAGACACCAGAATGTTGGGTGAATAAAGAAAATTCAGATTCCACCATATTTAGTCAATCAGCAGTATTGTTGATATGTGGCAGAAAATTTAGTTTTTTTTAGTGTTTTGAGTAAACGAAGATAACTTCTGTTTGTCATAGCTTGCCTGAAAATGAGAATAAGTTGTTTTTTTGTTTACTGTTGAAAACAACATTTATTGTTCTTTAACTTGTAGGCAGGAAATCTCCTTAAGCTTACTATTATGTATGTGGTAACCGATGTTTTGTTCCATGATGTTTTGGGTTGTATTGGACAAAAATGTTGTGGTTTGTATGGGACAGAGGTGTTATGGGTTATATGGAACAGAGGTATTATGGGTTGTATCGGAAACAGTTTAAGGTTGATAAGAATTATATTCTCACAGAATGTTTTTGTTTTACGGGGCAATATGGATAAAGTACAGCAGAAGAAAGGAGAGAAAGAAGAAAAAGAAAAAATCTATGCAGCTAAGAGAAAACTGTAGGGAAAAATCATCTAAATAAAGAGAAACAAAGAAAGAAAAATGTAAATAGGCCTAAATCAGTTCAAAAAAGAGAGAAGACCAAGAGACTCTCTGCATCATCTGTGATGAAACCTTTGAAGAAGACTGGATTCAGTGTAGGATTTGTGAAGGTTGGGCATACAAAAATTGCAACGATCTTGAAGAAAACAATCTGTTTTATGAATGTGATGTTTGTATTACTAAAAAAAATGCATTTGTCATTAAAACAAATTGTTAAATTTTCAGACTAATAATTTTTTAAATTTTTCTCATTTATACTACTTTCTTCTCATGTATTAACTTAGTTTTACGATCTGTAATTTGTACTTTTATAACTTTTTCAATAATAACTCTACCTACTAATGAAAAGTTGTTTGTGAAACCAAAAGTAATTCTCTTCTTGCAGATTTTTCTCCTGTCCAATATATCCCTCCACAATTGAACTTGGTAAAAATATAATGTCTGTAAAAAGTGTAAAAAAACGATTACTATTTTTATCTTAGAAAAATGAGTTTTAACAGGTGTTTTTATAAGACAATGAAGTTTTGTATGGAATGTAATCTGGACCAACTGAGCTGTAAAATTTTTTATAACATAGGAAAAGCTTAGGTGTCCAATACTAGAGGACATTCCCCTATAAGAGAATTAATTATTTTAATAAAACTCACAGAAACTATAAATATTTCTGATTTAACATTATATTAAAAATTATAAAAATTTTTCATTCTAAAACTTACTCTGTAGCAATTTCAACAGGACTTCCTACTTTAGCAAAAGAAAAACTGTTGTCTGAATTCTTTTTGCCAATGTAGTTTAAATTGACTTGGATGGTTTCTGTTCTAATTACATCTCTGACATTCCACAGAGAACATAAATGAATATCATTACTAGAATTGGGCAAAATCACTGCAGAAAATGGTGAAGGAATTCTTGAACATTCTTTGTATAAATTGATATATTCTTCTAACTGCAAAATTTAAAATAATATACAATTTAAAATATTTTTTAAATAGAATTGAAAAATTTATTATAGAAAAAAATACAATGCTATTTTTATTTACAATATATAGTACTATATAGAGTATTTAAAATTTGTTTATACAACTGTAGAAATTAACAATTATCCACATTAGACACAAGTAAATAGATTCCAGCAAACAAACTGACAACTCTGAAAATATTCTTCAGCAAGTTGTTGTTAGATAGCATGCCTAATTATTCTAAATTTGGTATTTATTGTAAAATCATTAGATCAAGCAGAAAGATGTAAACTGTTGTATAATTTAACAAAACAAAATTCAACATCTAAGTATAAATACATTTTTGGAGCAAAGATGGTAGGTAGGATCCAACCTATTTATAAATCAATTTGGCAATGATATAAATTTATGAAAACCATAAGCATGCTGTACATAGAAACAGAGCATCTTGTACTAGTGCAGATGATGAATAAATTCATCAAATAATTTTCCATTTCTCAAACAAGTTAATCTGGACTGCTTTAAAATAGCTACAATTGCATCATTTAACAATATATATATGAGATACTCCACAAATGTTTGAAGCTTTATCTTTATAAAGTTCAAACCATTTAGCTTAGGGTTTCCTAAAAGCATTTTTGGTACGTCAAAAATTTGTTAAAGGTTGATTGGGGTTGAGTGAAAATGACTCGTTAAAAATTATTCATCCAATGGGTTATGTATATTATGACATTTCAAGATATTATAGATTTACATACTAAGTAGATCTCTTCCACAAAAAAGAGTGTATGGATTAATATTGGCTCATCAGATTTATTTACTAGCTTGTTACACCTGGCATTGCCCAGATTTATAAAAGTACCCATCACAGTAATTGTTACACCTAGTGTTATTAATAATAAATTTTAAAAATGTACATGGTAAAAACTCATTTTAAGAATAATATATTTCAGAATGCCTATAAACTATTTGAGAAACATGTCCTCATAAATAGTGAGTTTATAGAAAAATTATTATAATTAGTTTGGTTAATTTGGTTATGGCAACATAACATGTAGGCAATCTGCCAAGGGGATGTCCTTAGGAAGACTTTTATGGGAAACTGGCCCCTAGTTAGATATTACTAACAAGAAGAAAACCCAGAAAACTTCCATGTGGCCAGCCCATTGGCAATGTACAAACTCATGTCCAACTGTTTGTCCAACTACCAGTGAATCATGTGCTCTGAACCAATTACAGAATGTAGATAATGAAAACAAACAAAAACAAACGTTTTCAAACTCCTTCCGAGGCCTTCATCAGGTTTTTTAACAATTCCTCGATGATTGTTTGAACTGGAATAAAATTCAAAGAAGAGTCTGAACATAAGTTTGAAAAAATTTGTGTTCAGTGGATTTGTCCACTCAGTCACTGGTGGTATTATCCCCTTTTCCTTTCACCCTCTCCTAATTATATGTTTGTAATCTTGTTCCATTGTATTTTACAGAAATATTCATAAAAGTAATAACAAAAAAAGGTTTTAAACAGCTACATGCACCAAATATTAATATAAAAATGAATAATATATATCATTGTCTGTTGGTTTTATGAAAAAATACTTTATTTTGTAAGTACTTTTGACAGACTAAAACTGTCCTCTTCAGGCAGAATCGTTTTTTAGTTTCCAGAGAAAAAGACATTTGAATTCAAGAAAAATAATCCAAATATCAATCAACGTTTTTTCAAAATTGTTTATTATCCAAAACAATTCTGCCTGAAGAGAACAGTTTTAAACTATCAAAAGTACTTGCAAAATAAGTTATTTTTTCATAATGTCAACAAACAGTGATATACATTATTCTTTTTATAAGGTGAATAATTTCTGTCAAATGATACGGAAAGTAATTTTTAGTAGAACTACATGTAACAACAATTTAAAGTGATATATTTCAAGAGGCATAATTACTTTGAAAGAAATATTGACAGTAGATAGTAAATAATATTAATAAGATTTTTTAGATACTTTCAAAATATTCATGCATTACCAGGTTTTATGTTGAAAGTGATATAGTAAATTACCAGTATTTGGGTGAAAGGACAGTAATCTATTAAATGGTAATGACACACACCACTTAGCCAGTTTTAGCCAATTGCATGTCATTATTTCAATGGAATAGCTAAATAAACAGTCTATAAACAAGCAATTATTTATCATGACATCATCACAATGCCAGACTGCAATTTTTAATCATATTTTTAATTTATTTAATTTAAAATATATGCTCTCCACCTCAAATTAGTACTGTAGTGGCTTACCCCTGTACATCATACTTTTCCATTAGCAATGGAGTTTTGCCATCTATTTAAGTCCTTTCAGGGAAAAAGTTTTGAATTGAAATAACATGACTTCCAGTTTGCATCAGAAGTTCATTTATAATTAATTAGGACCTCAAACCCCTAAGCTTTCCATATCTGGTCTTGACTTTTATGTATCTAACTTCATTCCCAAGACTAAGGAAAGACAGACAAACAGACAGATAGATGACAGTGGGAATTTATAGGTATACAATGTTTTAAAATTGTAACAAAAATTCACTATACCTTTAAAATGCAGTCTAGTTTACATCTGTTTTTTTGTTAAATAGTAATGCAGTTAGAGATAGAATGAATAGAATTTAAAATTGTATCCCAATGACAAATGTATTAATTTTCTGCATCCAAAATGAAGGCATTATATGAGGTGATGTATTTTAAGAACAATTCCTGACAAGTCTATACTCATTAACAAGAGTTAGTTTTAATTTCTGTTCTTGTTAAAAATAGTTTGTTATAATATAATTATTTGGTCTGTAATTTTAAATTTTGTTCTTAAAACTTTAAAAAATTTTTTGTTATTCTATTATATGTTGGAGAATGGTTTATTCTTGCTTTGTTTTAATTTTTGAAATGCTTGCAAAGATGCATTCTTCCTCAAATGTTCCATCTATATTTTGTTCTAATGTTATTAAAAATTCAATTTCACTTGGAGATGATCAGTTTAGTTGATCAAAATATTAGTGTGATATTAAACCAGTACATTTCTGGAAGGCTAATGTGTTGTTTTATTCCATAACAAAAGTTTTCCATTTGGACATGAGACACTTACCAATATTTTGTTATTCATATATGAATGAACCTAAGAAATAATAAATATATCACTTTTAAGTCTAACTGTATTGTTTGTATCATGATATTTATGATCTCAATTGTAGAATTTCGGATGGCAATTTTATGAAAATTAATTTGAAGACATGGTCTATCCAAAATTGGTAACCACCTAATCACCATTTATTCATTTCTTGTGTTCCAGAATTTTCATCCTTACCAAGATTTGTCACCAGGAGGAAGCTATGAAAATCTACATTTACCAGCACATTTTCCTCAGTAGATATAAAGCTTGAAAATCCACAAGTGATAAGGATGGAAAGAAAAACAAAGATGTCTATAAGATCTGCCAGTTCCAATTATAACTTTGTAATTTTAATTGGATATTTTCTGGTTTTTTTAAAGGAATGTTTTTAAACTTGATGGCCAAACAGCCTAAAAAAAAAAGGTAAGGTTGTCAAATGTATTCTGGAATACGAGAAGTGAATAAATGGTGGTTACTAATTTTGGACAGACTGTCTTCAAATTAATTTTCATATATGATCTCATTAAAGTAATTGTAATAACTTTTCAAAATTCTTTTCTATCCTCTCTACTTCTCAACAGAAAAAATATAGGCCTACCGGACTTCAAATATTCTAAGAATGCCTGAATATTTGTCTTCTGTTCAAATACATTACTTTTTTGAGTTAAGAATATGATGATGAGACATCTATATAATAAATCAGATCTTAAATTTTGTAGCATGTCAGATTGTTTAATTTATCCATATGGAATCAGCTCTCTCATGAGAGATTATCATTTATGTTTTGTTTGGCAATATCTTATATATCAATACTTAGAAATAAATAAATAATATTCTTACTCAATGACACACATTTCGTGTGTTTTATGTCAGCAGTTCTGTTCAAACAGTTGGAGTAGAGAATATTGTAAGTTACTGCTAGCAAAACAATGCGAAATATGTAATTATTTTCGGTAATCCGGACACTTTTGGTAATCCGACACACCTTTGGTCCCATACCTGTCGGATTATCGAGGGACAACTGTATTTGCTTTTTTACATTAAAAATGGATATAGAAAGAAAGAATCATTATTCTGTAGTTGTTTACTTTTTCATGCACACTTGTTTTGTTTACAGTTTTTATTCCAAAAGTACACATTATTGCTTTAACTATTCTTAAACACTTATTTTATAATCATAAAACAATAGCTATTCCAAGTATTCAAAAAATACAAATTTACATAGTGAATCACATATGCAGGACCTTAAATATATTAAAATAAAACATAGAAAATAGGAATAAATAATTAACAAGAAAAAACTAAATACAAACTAAAATAATTAAATAAATACAGTGTATATTCAAATATTGTGAATAAAAACATTAATATAGCAAAATGGTGATAAAGAAAACTATAAAACTTCAAATAATGCTCTCTAAGCATGTGACACCACTGCAGAATCTTTAAAGTTAATTGCAGTCCCTTTGTTGATAGTTTTATGAATTTCTAAACTTTCTAAATATTTAAGTCATGTTAGAGCCGTGGCACTGATATAACTTAAATATTATGCGCTCTATCAAAAGAAACATCAACATCACAGTCACAATCAAAGGCCACCAAGTCAGTTGTACATAGACACTCCTAACTGTGTCTTGATCCTTGATTCTAGTGCCCAAAAATCTAAATGTCACTCCATCATATTTTTAGCAACAATCCATCCTATCATCTTGTAAGGGAATTAAGTAGACCACAGGTAAAGACTTCTCATCAGTAGAATCCTTATCATTCCTGAGTAATGAGAAGACAGTAGGGCTCCTTTTATATATGATTTTAAGGTTGGCGATTTCTGCTATTTCCTTGTAAACATCACAAA